CGCATGCCTCCTTGATGTGGCCCTGAAGCATAGCCGAAGAAACTATAAGTGACTGTGCGTTAAGTTGTTTTATAAATTTAGAAAGAGACTTGGAGCTTACCCACCAATTCACTTTTCCAAGCTGATCGTCAGTGAGTTTCTGCGCCAGATGCTTCAACAGCGCAAACGCATCCTTCAGATCTGAATCCCGGCTTTGAAGCTCCGCTTTAAGTTCGACGACGAGTTTTTCCTGGTCGGCAGCCTTGATTTGAAGCTCATCATTCACCCCCAACTGATGCCGACCCTCCTCGTGAAAACGCACAGCCTCAGTGGCATAGGCCTTTCCATTCGCCCGGGTCATCGCCAACTCCATCGGGCTATCTCTAGATTTGCCTGTTACAGAAGGAAACAGGATAAAACGAAGAATAAATAATGACATGAAGTCACTTGTGTGGCTTGGTACGAACTGCAAACACTGACTCACTTGCATCATCACCATCTTCATCAGTAGCGACGGCTGCATCAACGTTTGCAGCCACCGTCGCTACAGCACGGGGAACACGGTCACCAACGGCTTCACGTGAAGCGCAGGGAGCAGCTTCGGTGGGAGAAGCTTGGGCGATTTTTGCCGCTGAATGTGTCGCAAAACCCTTCCCCCCCGTACCAGGGGTTCCAAGATTTGACACGGCACTCTATCTCCGTCGAGCTTGAGGTGTCCGTTGTCCGGTAGGACGGCGGTTGGACGGAGCAGTGTCGGTTGTGTCCTCAGCTTCAACTGCGATTTAAGAAGAAATCATATAAATTAATAATCACGACAATCACATACGAAACAAGAGAACAATGCACGCCGCGACAACAGAGCCTACGTACCTGTGCAGTCGTTGCTCAAGATGTACTTGTGGTTGTCTTTGCTGGCGCGGGAAGGCATTTGCCTAGTCTGCAGATGCAACATAGAGGGAGGGACTAACCCTTTAGGATTGCCACGCGGCATCGTTGGTGAGCAAGAAAATAAGGCTACGAAAACGTGTAGCCAGCTATACGCAAGGAAAACATTTTTATACGGTCCCGTGCCATGATAATAACGAAAGCAAGCCGTAGCGGTTCGCCAGCATAAAAACAAAGGGTATATCGGAGGAAGAGGCGCACCGTCATCCGCTCGAAGTACACCGCTACCGAACCACATACAGTGGGGAGTGAAAAAGCAGGCTCAGCACGGGGCGATAGTTGGTAACGTCGGACAGGGCGGAGGAAGGGAAGTTCAAAACTCGAAATTTGAATTTCTAAATTGCAGACACGACGCTCGAGCAGCAGGGAACCAGGTAGGGGAGGGTTTTAAGGGTTTTAAGGGTTTTTATAAAGGCCGTAACCGCGTACAGCAATAGTGCAACAAGCATAGCAAATGCTAAGGTCTAAGAGACCTACACTACACAGTGTTACTTGCTCATTCGAAAATGTTCGGAGGTGGTACCAGCCCCGCCGCACTGAAGCTGACTTTCCTTTTAGAGGAGCCCCAACTTCTTAAGGCGGATGAAAGCAGTCGTTCAGAAGCCATGTTTCTGCTAGTGTGGGATGCAGCTGAGGGGAACCGGAGTTGTAAAAAAACAGGAAGCGGAACGAGGTAGCCGCTTTAACTCGGTTGTTCGAAGCCTATTTTCTCTTATCGGACCATCGGCTGCGTCGGACGAAGAAGATTTTGCAGGCTGATAGAAATAGTGCAAGGATACGATGTAGAGTCTCAATTCTGGAGAAGCTAGTTTGCTCGTAGTTGGAAGCGCAACGGTCGCGCCATAGCGTAACTGCGGTGGCTCCCACTAGCAGGCACCAAGGGGCGATTTGACTGGCAGGGTGTTGGTTAGGGAAAAACACCGCTGCGGCCTCGACCTTCGTCTTAAGATGACGTGCCGCAACATTCTGGAGGGCGGACACCACCGAGGGGGCGTGACCGCAGTCGAAAAACATATGAGGCAAGTCTTCAATGGTGGGAGGGCCACAACGGGAATATGTGCCCCTATTGGTGTTGAATGGGAATCTCGCACTGGAGGGGAGGGCTCTTGTGACAAGCCGAAAAAAGGTAGATCACGGTGACGGGACGGTTGGTCACGAAGGAAGTGGCTTCGGTAGTTGGGAAGAGCGGGTATGGGGTTCCGCAGAGAAGTATTCCAACGATCGAGATGGTTCAGGGGCTGCGGCTGGTAAATGGTGTTCCGGATGTCTGCTAACGTAGGAGCGCTGATAAACAGCTCGTGCCGCGCCGCCAAAGCCGGGCCTGCAGCAAAAGAGCCGGCGACCCAACCGTTGTCCACGTGAACCGGTAGGACGTCCTTAAAAGACGCGATGCAGCTGCCGCGTGCTGGTTGTATCACCTTCCGCCCCAGCTTGAGTATGAAAAAGTCGAAGTGCGCCTTTTGGTCAGGTAAAACAAGTGTGACACGTAGAATACGCCTTGGTTTGTTGGATTCCGGTAAACTCTAGAGCCCACTCGTTCTCCGCGAGGTAATCCGGTCTGGGAGAGAAGGAGGCGAGGGGGCCCCACCATTCCTCCTTGATAGCTTTAAACACCTTCTTGAGGATGCCCACCCCGCCCGGGTATTGCTTGGGGGGAAACTTGCTCTGCATCTCTTTTTTGGTCATTCTCCAGGCCGCGTCTCCCTCATGAATCAATATATTGCCCAGTCGAACTTGCTCAGTGAGGAGAAACTTCGCGTGCTTGCGGCGGCCGAAAGGAAGTCTCGTTGGTTTACATATAAACCTGTTAAAGGCCAGGGGTTCGGCCATCAGACACCAGGGGTTGAGTCTCGGAGGGAGGATATTGGAGGGAAGTTTGAGAACCGTTGCCAGTTCAGCTCAAACTCTGGAGGGGATGAGAGGGGGAAGGAATTTAACCATGGAGGGGTGGGCGAGAAAGCATTGTAATCCGAAGGGTAGGGGGACGCATGAATGGGCAATGTCCTCGTATGGAGAGGCTTGAAACCGCCTTGCCGCGCGTTAAACAGATAGAGCCTGGATTTGCGTGGAATGTTGTATTGCCCCCACACCTCTGTGCTTCTTTTTGTTGTACAGGATGCACTTGGGCAGAAGACGACAGGCGAAGCCGTGTTTCTTGTACTTGGAAGCTGAGAGATAGTTGCCCACTACGCGCTCCAACTGTGGAATGACTTCCTCCGGGGGGGGGGGTTGGAACCGTCCCCCAAATGAATACACTGAAGTAAAATGCTCGGAAGAGATAAGAGAGCGGCATGTGGCGGTGGTTTTGATACGAGCTAACGAGTCAGCGGTGGAGTGGATGTGGCTGAGAATCTTCTCCCACGTGGTATTGCCTGGATGTGCCTGCTCCACATATATGCCGAGAATTCTTTCGGCATCATCTGGTGAGCGGATGGGGATGGGGCCAGAGCTGAAAATGGAAGAGGATGGGAAATGAATGGGGAGAAGTGAGCACTTTTCCCAGTTGGGATGTTCTCCAGAGACCGAAGCGAACGTTTGTAGCGAGTTGATAGCAGTGCCCAGTTCCTGGTCAGAATTGAGAAAAATAGACACGTCGTCGGCATAACAAGCCATTAGCCGACGCTGAGTCTTGTTGAAGGTAAAGCCAGGGAGGGAGACACTTAGGAACCTTTGCATGACTTCGATTACACACACAAACAGTAGAGGTGCCAGGGGACAGCCCTGACGAACACTGGTCCTGACGGGGAACGAGGGGCTAGAGAGATTGTTAACCGCAACACAGGTGGTGGTATTAGCGTGAAGTCTTTTAACCCATGACACAAATTCGGAGGGTAGGCCGATGTGGGAAAGACATTGGTACATGAACTCACGATCCACCAAGTCATATGCTTTGCGAATGTCCACCGTGAGTACGAGCAATGGCTCCTCCTGAGCTGTTGCCCAATCCATGAGGTCCAACGTATCATTAATTGTGTCCCCAATTCTCCTTCCACGAATGAAAGCCGCTTGCGCAGGGTTGATAAGACGCGGCAGAACTGCTTGAAGGCGGAAGGCCAACAGGTGGGCGATCACCTTATAGTCGGCATTCATTAACGTGATGGGCCGCAAGTTTTCCATCAGGTCAGCTTTTCCTTTCTTGGGAATCAACACCGTACGGCCTGCACACATAGAGCTGGGGATATGACCATGCTCGACCACACCAGCACAGAGTCGAAGAAAGAGAGGGGTGAGGATTTTCTTATGGGCACGGTACAGATCACCAGGTATACCGTCCGGACCAGGGGTCTTCCCTTTGGCGAGCCGTCTGAGGGCCTGCTAGATTTCTGAGAGGGAAAAAGGGTGGTTTAACCGCGAGGAACATGCATCAGGGAGTGAGGAAGGGTACACCTGGGTCCAGAACCCGTCATTATGAACAGCTGCGTTGTCACCACTGTAGAGTTTGGAAAAGAACTCAGTACAGTGACTGGACATGGCAGTTAATTCTGTCGTGATCTCACCGGAAGGTAATACCAACTGGGGAATCAGAGAATCTTTGATCCGATTTTGCAGAGTTTTCAGCAACGAGGAGACCCCCATCTCCCTTGGGCCTTCCACCAGGATGAGTTTGAGAAGGAGATACGCGGGGGGGTGCTTGTGCATATGCCGTGGGCCTTAATTTGAACAGAAGAAGCTTGAAATTGGTAGATAGCCTTGTGTCAGAGAGAATCAACACGTCAGTATGATTCCTGCCAAGCCAAAGTTTAAGCTCGTCAATCTTGGCTGCATTGTTAAGCCCGTTGACGTTCAAACAGTTGATGGTGAGGTTTAAACCCATTGATAACTATAGAAAGGGACACCTTGTGCTTGAAACAGCACAAATCCACAGAGGTGGGAGCTCTTGCTCCGTAAAACATTCAGACTTCGTATTGTATGGAAGGCATATGAGGGGAGCTCTTCCCCACCTGAGAAACCACCAGAGGAGTTACCACCAAGTGAATCCATTGAATTGATAGTACAGTACAACATCCACCCAGCAGCCCACGTAACAATAGGGAGCCAACGCATGGTCACACAGCCAAAGTCCTGGCCAGCTGTGCCTACGCAAGGAAGCTCGCAATGGCATTGTTCCTGTTGAAATCCATGATCTTCATGTCCCCAAACTCCTCGATGGGGGAGGGGGTAACTGAGCCGTTGGAGATGGCAACCGCATGTGACGGACTGGCCAGATGCTCCATGGCACTGTCCAGAGCCCAGCCGCAGCTGAAGGAACAGAGCGCACAAGTCCACACTTCGACTTCGATGTCTGTGCCAATGAAGAGAAGGCCCAGGTCGGCCTTGAAAGCCGCCACCGCAGGGTGCTGACCAATCACCTTGGCTGAGAGGGGGAACAGAGGCTCGCAGGGCAAGAGGGAGCGTAGCTTGAATAAGTGCACACGGCTGCCACCCAAAACACCGGGGGGTGACAGCCGAGGACGGAAGGAAGGGAACAGGCGTAGTATATAGCCATCGAGGGCAGCAATACGGAGAAACGTCAGCAGAAGACTGAACAGCATGAACAGAAGTAAGCGGAATTGCAAGAAGGGAATAAGAACGAGGAGTAAAAAACCGAGTTGTAAGGAGAAACCAAGTACCGTTGACATGCTGAATCTGCCCGACCGTGATGGTGAAGAGATTGGTGATTCGGTTCCTTCTGACAGCTGCGAAGCAGCTGTGTTCACGGGTGCGATGGTTACTGGGGCAGACGGTGCACAAATGAGTGGAGATGTTGATCAGCAAAGGCTCCTGAACGTCTGGGAGCCAGATCACCGCCGGACCTGCCTCAAAGAGTGGGTCGTTCACAGGGGCGATAGGAACACCAAGTATCTGCGGCAGGAACGACTCCTCATACGGATCGTACAGCTTGTGGAAATGCAGCAAGTCGCCCAGCCACTTGTCACCACGCTTGGTGCGACGATTCATCAGCAGGTTCTTGATGTCGTGGGTAGCGTAGCCGATCGGCACGTTCCTGATCACAAGCACAGCCTTGCCGCGGGCCTTGGCCGCGGTGAAGTCAGGGACGGGGTCCTCGAACACCTTAATCTCAGCCGAGGGGCCATCCGCGGCACGGTAGATCGTTCCGGGAAGCAGCCTGCGGAAGCGTGCGGCGTCATCACGCGTGGGCCACTGGAAGACATGACGGCAGTAGGTGCGACGCGGCAGCCTCAGGTTTTCACCAGCTGAGGCTTCAAAAGCAGGGACTCTGCCACCAGCGAAATCACGGCCACGCAAGATGCTGCGCACACGGGTAATGATTCGACTGCGATGAGCCTCAAGGGCTTCAGGGAACAGGATGACGACAATGGACTGCGTGTCACGTGTGAGATTCTAGACAATGACGCCAACGATTTCTCGATTACGGCGAAGACGGATGAACCGGCCGGTAATTGCAAGAGCAGGCGTCTGAGCTACTTCCTGAACCGAAGTAGAAGTAGACGGCGCGGTAGAGGACGGGCCAGCCACAGGAGCCGCCGCATGAGTCACCGTGGGAGCGATCGACGAACTCGCAAGGACCGTCGGGGGGGCCACAGGCGCAGAGCTTGAAGAGGCAGCAGCACACACCCTTTTGGCGGGAGGAGGAGCCGAGACCACTGGAGTCGTGGTTTCTTCCACAAAGAAATATTCGACCGAGAAGGAGGGGTCAAGATCGCCCTCCGCCATGAACTCGTCAGGGTTATGCTGTGAAGCCATTGCGCCAGGTGGTGGGAAATACCATAGCGCTAGGATAACTTTATAGAACCATCGCACTAGGAGAAAGGGGGGCCAAGGAAGGATTCCTGGCCCGAGGTGCCACCAGAGGTGGGGAATGCGAGAAATCAAGATCCATTGGTAGTGGCTTTGGCAATGGCCGTGGCACACGTAAGTAATCGGGGAACCAGGTTGGACAAATGGAGTCGCCTTTACTACATGTGAGAGAGCTGAAACAATTTCACCACAAGGAATGTCGTCTGGGCCCACAATGCGGCAACACCAGGGTGGTATGACGTAGGAAAGCGCCGCAGCAGCGGAGATAGTGCCAGCAACGCGGAGCAGGAACCCATGCAGAAAAACCAGGCAAGTGAGTGACGTGCAAGGACGACGAGGGAGCCTTAGCCTGAACAAACCAAAAACCCCGTCAAGTTCCAAAGACTCGGAGGAACCTCCAGTAAACTTGGAGCCAACTTGGAGAACAAAGCCACCAACCACCAGCACCTGCGATAAGACCACAAAAACCAACCAACCAAACAACCACACATCAACCAAACAAACCGAAATTATCCTACCTGAAGCAGACCAACCATTGGGTGAGCAAAACCGAAGGACGATGGTCTCGGTGTTGAGGTTGGCACGGCGCGAGAGGTAAACTGGGAAGAACTCGGTTGCTAGGAGTGCAAGGAGGAGGCTGAGGAAAACCATTGTGAATCGCGGTGACGTCCCCAGAGGAGCAGATCAAGAGCCCCGCTGTTTCAAGATTGGGATCGTAAGCTCACGTTACAGGGATACGAATGGAACCAGGTAGGGGAGGTGTGAGGGAAAAGGGAGGGAGGGAAGAGAGTGTGCAAGGGGAAGAAGGTTGGGGTACTCAGAGGGACAGGAGGGTAGCAGGGGGGAGGGTAGGTCCGTACGTAACTGCCTCGAAGCGCGCGACTACACGGAGATTACGTGCTAGAACCATGCCCCGCTGGTATTCTCACGGTTTCACGACAGCTGTTCTTTGGTTTGCAGTGGTTGTCGCATTTTAAACAGTTCAGATAGCAGTTACTGTATAAAAGAATGTTTTTGTTTCTGTTGAAGTGAACACCACGACATACATCCAGTCACTCGCTCACAGCGTGGAGCATACAGGCAGACGCCCGTATCGGGCAGAAATTACAGTGGATGCTTGTGAAATTACACAAGGGTGGGTTCGTGACTGCCTCGAAGCCCACGTCAACACGAAGCGGGTGCAAGTTGGATTGGTGATGCTCCACTGGAATAATTTTGGTGTTGCAATTCGACAGCTGTGCAATAAGAGGATGGGTTAGCGATGCTTGTCCCCATTGAAACAGTGGAAATGCAGTTATTGTACTCAGAAGGGTTTTCTTTTCCGAATTATGCAAGGTCACACTCAGAGATTCACGCACGCAAAGCCACCGTTCGGCCCGTTGCAAATTGTTTCTTCACACTCGGAGCGAGAAGCTAAAAGTTTCGATCGGAAAGAATTCGCCTTGTTGCAAATTGTTCCTGGAGTGAACCGTTCTTGACTTCTGGGAAAATTTCAGACGGATAAGACAAGGACTGTTGTTGGCCCAGTTATTCAAGATGAATCGTCTGCTGAGCTGTCGCCCATGCCCCCAACGGAATGCAGCTTTACAACGACGTTTCTAGAAAGTGGCCCAGCCACACAATATTTGTTATATTGTTATCGGATAATTGAGGTCGGTAATTGCTCGAGTTGGTTACAGAGCCGCTTCTCACTTCTGCAAACAATAACTTTAACAGATAGTTGCCTTCTCTCCTTCCTTTATATTTTATTATAATAAAAAACATTTACAAGTGATCAACAGCAGTATATGTCAGATTTATATGACATAGCTACTGTAGGCTATAGTGGGGTAGCACATATGGGGTACAGTTTTCTAGGGTTTGCTTTTGTACCCAACTTTCCCTTAGTCAATTCATTCCTCATTTCTTCACATGGTATAGAGCAGGTTCCCTAGTGGGAACGCTTCCTTGGGCCCACCACTGAAACCTTTTTTTTTCTGACCGGAGCGACAGTCGCTCCTGCCCGAGGCGCGCCTTGTGGGCCGCCCTTCTGTCGAGCTCTCTTAGAGGCCCCTCTCACGGCCCCTCGCGCCACCCTTAGCGGCCCCGTCGCCGCCCCTAGCGGCCCCGTTGCCGCCCTTCCAGGCCCCTTGCGGCCCCTAGCGGCCCCATTGCCGCCCCTACGCGGCCCCGTAGCCGCCCCTAGCGGCCCTGTCGCCGCCCTTAGCGGCCCCGTTGCCGCCTCCCTCCCTACGCGGCCCCGTTGCCACCCCTACGCGGCCCCGTCGCCGCCCCTAGCGGCCCCGTCGCCGCCCCTACGCGGCCCCGTCGCCGCCCCTAGCGGCCCCGTAGCCGCTCCCCTCCCTACGCGGCCCCGTCGCCGCCCCTACGCGGCCCCGTCGCCGCCCCTACGCGGCCCCGTTGCCGCCCCTAGCGGCCCCGTCGCCGCCCCTAGCGGCCCCGTCGCAGCTCCCCTCCCTACGCGGCCCCGTAGCCGCCCCTACGCGGCCCCGTCGCCGCCCTCACGCGGCCCCGTCGCCACCCCTAGCGGCCCCGTCGCCGCTCCCCTCCCTACGCGGCCCCGTCGCCGCCCCTACGCGGCCCCGTCGCCGCCCCTAGCGGCCCCGTCGCCGCCCCTACGCGGCCCCGTCGCCGCCCCTAACGGCCCCGTCGCCTCCTCCCTCCCTACGCGGCCCTGTCGCCGCCCCTACGCGGCCCCGTCGCCGCCCCTAGCGGCCCCGTCGCCGCCTCCCTCCCTACGCGGCCCCGTCGCCGCCCCTACGCGGCCTCGTAGCCGCCCCTACGCGGCCCCGTCGCCGCCCCTAGCGGCCCCGTCGCCGCTTCCCTCCCTACGCGGCCCCGTCGCCGCCCCTACGCGGCCTCGTAGCTGCCCCTACGCGGCCCCGTCGCCGCCCCTAGCGGCCCCGTCGCCGCTCCCCGCCCCTAGCGGCCCCGTCGCTGCCCCTACCCGGCCCCGTCGCCGCCCCTAGCGAGCATCCGAGCCGCCCAGCAGCTGAACCGCCGAGTCGCCCAGCAGCCGAGCCGCCCCTGGAGCAGCCGCCACTGCAGCAGCCGCCCCTGGAGCAGCCGCCACTGCAGCAGCCGCCCCTGGAGCAGCCGCCACTGCAGCAGCCGCCCCTGGAGCAGCCGCCACTGCAGCAGCCGCCCCCGGAGCAGCCGCCACTGCAGCAGCCGCCCCTGGAGCAGCCGCCTCTGGAGCAGTCGCCCCTACAACTGCCGCCCCTAGAGCAGCCACCCCTGCAGCTGCCGCGGAGCTCTCGCTCTACAGTGGTAGCGGCCTCGCCGTTGCCGCCGTCGTACGCCTGCCCTTCTCGCCACTGGTGAGCACTGCCCTGCCCGTACTGCTGTTACTGCTGCTCTTACTGCTGCTGCTCTTTCTACTGCTACTGCTGCTCCTGGCGTGGCCAGATGCAGCTCCAGCGTCGCCCGCGTGAGTCCCTCACCCCCCAACAGCTTCGTGCGTGGTACGCTAGTTGGGGTTGTCGGGGTGGCCGTAGTGGGAGTCGTCCTGGAGTGAGTAGTTCCACAGCTGCTTGTAGTGGCCAGGTGCAGCTGCAGCGTCGCCCGCGTGAGTCCCTCACCCCCCAACAGCTTCGTGAGTGGTACGCTAGTTGGGGTTGTCGGGGTGGCCGTAGTGGGAGTCGTCCTGGAGTGAGTAGTTCGGCAGCTGCTTGTAGTGGCCAGGTGCAGCTTCAGCGTCGTCCGCGAGCAGTCCTTTCGCCCCAGCAGCTTCGTGAGTGGTACGCTCAGCGTGACGGGTCACGGGGTACTGCTCGCTGTCCGTACGTCATTCGCACTGGTGCTCGGACTGGTCAGCCTTGCGGGACGTTGGGTCACGCAGAGTCCCGCTGCTTCGCCCGTCTGAGCGACGCCTGGCGTACGGAGTTTGGCGACGCGGCTGAGCTCCGCGACTGGGTGGAGCTGCTTCGGCTGCGGGTAGATATCTATACTCTTGACTATGATGCTATCCTCACTGCCATGTATGCATTGCCTACTAGTGATGAGGGTGACTGTTACCTGTGTGGTCCGCCTGACCCGGGCATTGAGGCTGCTGCTCTAGGTGCTGGTGACGCTGCTGCTCTAGGTGCTAGTGCGTCTGCTGCCCCAGGTGCTGATGAGTCTGTGCTCTCAGGTACCACGTCGTCTCAGGCCTTACACACCTTCACTCTTGACTCGGGTGCTTCCCGCTCCTTCTTTCGAGACCGCACCACGCTTACGCCGCTCAGTCGGCCGGTTGCGGTCTCCCTGGCAGACCCCTCTGGGGGTCCTGTCCTTGCTCACTTCTCCACTGTCCTCCCGTGTCCGGCGGCCCCCTCTGGCACCCTGTCTGGTCTTTACCTCCCCTCGTTCTCTACGAACTTGGTGAGTGGTGCTGACCTACAGGATGCGGGGGTTCACCAGTTCACTCCTGCGAGTCAGCGGGTGACCCACTGCACGGACGCTCGGACAGGCCGACACCTGGCCACGTTTACACGTCGGCCGGGGTCGAGCCTGTACACACTGACCACTGCGTCTCCTCCAGTCACTGCGTCTGGTCAGGTAGCTGCGTCGGGTCAGGTGTTTGCTGCAGCGTCCAGGTCTGGTCCTGAGTCTGCCCCCTGTTCGTGTCGCCTCCTGTCTCACGAGACTCTCCTCTGGCACCACCGCCTTGGTCACCCCTCCCTGCTTCGTCTCCGAGGCATGGCCTCCCGTGTCCTTGTCTCTGGTCTTCCCCGGTCCCTCCCTCCCCTTCCTCCGGGGCCTGGCCCTACCTGCGTCCCCTGTGTCGAGGGGCGGCAGCGGGCTGCCCCTCACTCCTCCCAGTTTCCTCCGACAGAGGCCCCGCTGCAGACGCTTCACATGGACGTGTGGGGCCCGGCCCGCGTCCGTGGACAGGGTCACGAGCGCTACTTCCTGCTGGTGGTTGACGACTACTCGCGTTACACCACAGTCTTCCCCTTGCGCAG